CCAATCAAACCTGGACTTTGTTGACACATTTTACAAGACACAGCCAAATTGTTTGGTTTAAAGCAAGCACGGTATGTTCTGTTGCAAGACTAGAGTCCCACAGATTGTCTCATCATTCTTCAGCAGAAAGTCTGTTCTTCTGGAGAGGTTCTGCTCATATTCTTAGTAGGTCTGAAGCTGAATGGCATGCACATCAAATGGGAGTCCATAGTTTAGACCTTACTCAAACAATCAAGGCATCTGCTATGAAAGACTGTCAATGGAATGTGGCTTCTACAGTAGAGCCAAGGGCAGAACACCAGCTTTGAAGCCATGAAAATGATTTTAACACAAGAAGTAGTCAGCAATATAGTGAATGCATTAAAAATGCCCTTTCTTACCACAGAGTTTAAAAAAAAAAAAAGAAAAAAGCAATAGGTGTTCTTCCCTTGATTTGAAAGGAACAGAGGAGGGAAAGTAAAGAGCAAGCTCACTAAGAAGCATGGTGAGGGAGACAACACTGATCCCAAGTGGTAGAATAGAAGAGAAAAATCAGTTTGAGCGGTATATGAACTGTCAGCCACATGTAGAATTATGAGGAAAGCCAACCCTGTTTGGTGCTGGCAACTGAGGGTGTTCAACCCCATGGATGATAGGGACTATTCTACTTAAATCATGGTGCCTACAAATGAAAATGTTTCCACAACTGTTTAGTATATATGAAAAAATATCTGAAGGTGTCTCACAAGTTCTTATGTAACATGTAGCACTAAGTGAATTTTGTAAGAAACATTGAAGTGAAAATGGACTTTTTTTTTTATATGAACTACCTTTCCAGTGACAATAAACAGCTTTCTTCTGATCTGCAATAATTTCTTCCTCAGTAGCATAGGCATGATTAGCAACATGTTGATAAAACCACACAGGGTTATTGAAGGTAACCTAAAAACAAAATAGAAGCATGGAGAAGACAAGATTGTTTTGGCAGGAAATCAACTGACAGGAACATAGACTTAAGTGTTTTTAGAAACCAAATAGACACCAGTAAATATTGCAGTAATATCTAATTAACTCATCCCAACACAGAGACAATTACTACAACTACAAAAATGTAGAACATTCTGCAGTATCCACCACAAAAACCAGGTCCTGAATTTTCACCTACCATTTATTAGTTGAAAAGTCTGCCTAAACTAATTGAGTGAATGCTGTCCATTCTTTGGGGCAGGGATGTGTCTTTCAAGGCTGATTTATTTCTTGGGTTAATTTTACCTTGTCCCCTCCCTTCACTTCTACCTGCTCCTACTCACGAGGAGGCTATGAAGGCAGCACAGGTAATTCCAACAGAAGTGGGAAGGCTGCACAGTGATTAAATGGAATTAGGTTGTTGTGGACACAGCACTCCATGAGTCAGTACTTACGTGACAAGGGGGACTAAACCCTAATTACCCTCTGTCTCACACCATAAAAATCCACACCTGCAGAGTGAAAGTAGACTGCACATTGAATTTTCTTCAAGTAACAGAGGGTGTCATTCAGCTGCATACTGTCATCAGTCACAATTCAAAGTATACCTCTCTGTTCCAAATAATTTAAACCCTCAACCTCTCTGCTGCACTGGCACAATTTGGTAAGGCTACATATTGAACTGGGACAAGGAACTGATCTGGCTTTCAAAATCAAAACTCTGGGAAGAACAAATGGGAAACACGTGAGACTCCTTAGGCTAATATTGCCACTGCTGATGATGTACAGCTGATTCAAATTTAAACAGCTCCTGGTTTTTTTTACTTTTAGGAAAAATATATAAATGAAATAAAACTTATAAAATTTATTACATGGTTTTAACCATTCTAGTCTTAGTAGAGTGGGTTAAACGAAGCTGCTAGGCATTCTGTGTGCAGAACAGAGCATTCACACAAGGAGTTAAAGCAGGCAAACTGCTGCATTTTAAATTCATACTTCACTGTATTTCACAATAGCACCCTCAGGGAGACAAGCCCTTATTTCCTCTGAAGGGCTTGAAACATGATCAGAGAAATACAAGATCTTGTGTATATGAAAGCATATAAGCATATTAAGGTGAATCAACTAAAAATACCGAGCTAAACAGTGATTGAAAACCTTTTTACTTCTTAATCAGAGTAACCATATGGGGGTTAAACCCATTTTAATTTGTTGGCACCATCTCTTTAAGTCTTTCACTAGAACTTTCTTGGACATTTATGTGTAAGTAGGAGAGAAGAGAAGTTTTGGGGGCAGTTGGCCGAGTCAGAAGCTTTACTTTTGGGGAAATTGAATCTGACACAGTAGGAGTCACCACAAGTGTTGGGGGAAGTTGTACGGGTGATTTTCAACGAAAATTATATTCATAACTGTGGGAACATATTTGCAGGAGGGTGGGAAAGGTAAGTAGTTTTCCCTGCCCTCAAAGTTCCCCTCTTTCTCAGTGTGCCCTACCCCACCTCCTGGGTCTAGTCTAGTCTGCCTACTAAGTTGAGAAACATTCTTTTCATTAATAAAATTCACAACATAGTTTGAACTTGAATGAACATGTATAAAAAGATATAGCAAAATGCTGCGGACTAAAAGGCTCCATCAGCCAAAACTGCCCACTTATACAAATGAAAAATGGAACATGAAATCAATTAATGGGAAGATTTTTCTTCTGGTTTTTAAGCACCTTTTTTTTTTTTCCCCAGCATGCTTTTCAAAAGACTGTGCTTACTGACAGAGGCAGAAAAACCTAATTCTGAGGGCCTTGAAGTTTTTTCTGGACATCTTTTTTTTTTTTAAATAAACAGACGAATCATGGCAGTGTGCTAGTGAAGACTGATTGGTGTGTATTAAAAAGAGTCAATAACAAAAGTGAGCATTTTAAGAAATATGACTCTTATAAGCTATGAAACATAATGGCAACAAGATTTGTTTGTAACAATAGTTTGCAACCAAACTATGTAAACAAAATAAGTTATCATGAATAATGCTCTGAATTATGTCCAAGCTTATAGCTTTAAAAAGAAGAGAATGGGGAATACTTCCATGCATAATCTAGTAAGCAAAATACTTTTTTTCACAGATTGACTTAACAACAAAATTACCTCTCTCTATAAATGTCACTCTCAGATTTTTATGTCAATCCTTATTTCATGTAAATAAAAATTATTGGGGAAAAAAAGTATCAATGTATTATGTGAGTGTAGATATTCTAAATTCAGAGCCAAAAGAGCCAAATGCGTATTTTTAAACATTCTGTCCAGTAATAAGACAAATGAGGAGGCATTCACCTTTTACATATGCTATGGCATAGCATATATAAACTGTAAGCTGAAATTTTAAGGTGAAAGTAGAAATAACTTTGGACATAGTAAGGTTATCAAAGAAAAGCATGGACTACAAATGCCATCAGAAAATAAAAGTACATTCACTCCATCACTGCAGTACATTTACCCATTCAAAAACATGACACACGTGAGGGATCTAGTATCTATGTAAAGCACCATCAAGCTGACATTCCTGTGCGTGGAAATAATTTCATCCTCATTAGTGTTTGTTTATAACCTCAAAACCATAGTTTATGTCATTAATTTTATCCCAAATTTGATATTAAAAAGTCACAGATAACAGAGAAATATGATTAAAAGTTGATAACCCATGAATCATTTAAAGGCCTAGAGAGACATCAGGAAAAAAGAATTAAAGGCCTTTGAAAACCATAAACGTTTTGTTTTGATTTGTAGTTCAGAACTACTAAACCTGCATCAGATCTGCCCATATGAGGTTTGCAAAATTCAGTTTTACAGTTTTTCTGATTTCCACAGTACAACTCATTTCAGTTATTTCTTCTTCACCAATATTTTACATTTTCAGTTATATCACTTTACCCAAATGAAAGAGAAAAACCTCATACGTATGGAAAAAAAATGACGTAGACCAGATAGACAATTTTCCTGCATTACTTCTTTCTCTGAAAACTATCTTGCTCAACAGTTACGCAAAAGGAGATGATAAGAAGATGTCATCTATGAGGCATCACGCTTGCGGATATCTTTGCATACCTTTGCAGGTAATGCTCACTGTTTCTGAGGCCAACAGTGACAGAGAAAGTGATTCCCTATAACGTTGTATGAATACAAAGCTACTTTTGCTCAGGAATGGACACATCCAAGAAGCAGAAAAAAAAAATAAAAAAAATACAGGCAGCACTACCTATCTTAACAGTGCCAAAAAAAAAAAAAAAATGCAACTGCTAATCACTTTGATTTACTTGGTTATTAATACAGAAATTGCACAGTCACAACAGAATAGATGATGATTTTATTCCAGGACACCAAAAAGTGGACAAGACACAAACCACTTTTAGTTGAAACCAATCTTGGTCACATTTGGACATAAGGCTTATATGAACAGCCTGTTGCAAATGTCTAATTTCTGCTACAACAAAAAAAAGGAAACAAACAAAAACCCAAGACATTTCCAGCTGACCAAGGAAACATCACATATACTATTGCCTTTCTTAAGGCAAACAATGAACACTGCTCTGCAAAATACTAAGTTCATTAAATTTTTATTTAACTAGTTATATTAAAGTTTTGCACGCATGCTCTTAAAACACAGGAGAAGTTGAATCTTTGTCAAAAAGATAATTTTAGTCATCACAAAGAGAAAGAAAATCTGAATTAGAGGTCACAGGTATCATACAAATGTGTTGTTTACATTTTGGGAATGCTATGATAATAATTATGTATTACTTACAAAGACAGTAGCAAATATTGTTCAGAGGGGAGATTGAGCAAGTATTCCCAATAATAAGTCAAATCCAAAGATTGCTAAGGTAAAGTTTGAAAAGGAAGAGAAATGGCAATATTTCAATGTATTTCACTTACGTCACAATTCTCCCAGTGGCAAACAAACTCCTCTGGAGTCTTTGGTAACTGATGCCAGCTACGGCTGCTCTGCAAACACGCAGGCAAATCCTGGTGCAGTGCCCATAACTGACAGCCTATGAACTTCAGTTTGGTGTGGTAACTGTGAAAATTGACATGTGTTACCAGCTGTCTGGGATATTTAGCCTCAAATTCACAACTTCTCCACCAACACCGGTACTGCTCTAAACACAAAAAAGAAGTAAGATCTTACAGAACGCTGCATGAAATCTGCAACTGTGTGCCACAATGGTGAGAATGCCAAGAGTACTTACATTTGTAGTAACTTCACTATCTGTTAAGTAACCTTAGCAGAGAAGCTGGTAATTGCTATCTAGTGAGAATGCACTACATAAGACTTGTAAATTTCAGTAGCAAGTAGATTTTCCAGTGTCTCACAACTGCAGCAATATTGGAGTGCTTTGTGTCTTAATCACAACTTTTTGTAGAAAGGCACTTCATGGATTCAGTAGGAAAAAACTGTAAAAATCAGTATTTTCTTAGGTATATACTATAACACTCTGCAGCTTAGGTCACAGAGACATTGTTAATGTTGGTCCAATTCTGCTTTTTTCACCTTTAATTAAAACTCATTCACCTTTAATTAAAATGTCTACACCTGTAATTACACTTGATTACAGTGTTAAGAATAAAGAGCAGGATACACAAGAGCCAAAATACCTATATTAAAAAGTCTAGTATATTATTGCTATTACATCCACAGACACTACCTATAATTTTCTGCAGAATTGGATTGCTTTCCTTTTAAGTACATTTAATACTATTAAAAAGATGTGAAATACACCACCACCAGTGTATGTATCTAAATAAGACAAATACTGTACAAACAATAAAAGTTTCCTTTTACATTTTTCTATAAAGATTCATACAAGGGCAACTTTACACTTAGAAGCCTTAAGCAGCAGCAGGCCTGTTCCCTGAAAGGCGATAACTCTGGCATTCAAATATAATTTGCTAATATCTGCTTTAGACACCTGCTGAGGCCCTAATCTTAGGGAAAAAAGAAAAAATCCTCAGCAGACGTTCTCATGACATCACATCTCCAGTCCCTTTCCACGTTAGTAATACCTATCAATACAGACAAAAACCCAGGACAATCAGAGATGAAGCAAAAAGCAGGAGTTGGCCCTTGTCTAAGGGCTCCATGCAGCTGTGCCTGAGGAAAGCCAAGGCGCAGGTAAACTGAAGTCAACATTATTTTCTAGGCTAGGAATAATCTTCCAAGCTGCGGTGTAATCTGCGTGACAAATGAGACATAAATGACCTGTTGTTTCCTGCGGGTGCTGTAGGTACTCATCCAAGTGTTCTGCAATATGATTACAAAATTCCTCCATGCATTTCCCTACAAAGCAGCATTCCTTCCATTCACAGGGTAATATCAATTCAGCATTCTTAAACTTGCTTCCAGGGGCCATTGCCTAAAATTTGTAGAAGTACAGAGGAGTTTTAGTTACCATATTATATTTTTGTAAGTTCCTCACGTGAAAATAGCAGATAAGATTACAGGCTCCTAGATGACATGAACATTTTTTGTGGGCTTTAGGGTTTTTTGTTTGTTTTCCGTTTTTCTTTAATTATTGCAGAAGTTATTTTATGAATCTAAAATCATATTTTGCAAACAATTATACCTTGCCAGAAGCCACAAGTTGTAACATTTTCATTGCAACCATGCAGTTAAGAGTCCTATGATCACCACCCCAAACATTTGCTGAGGCTGCCTTTATTGTAACTTAATTCCACAGCAGTACTGTAAAACCTCTTTCCACAGAGAAAGCCAAAGCAATCATTACCAAGAGTGCAATTCCACAGTCATTTTAGCCTGACATTAGTACGGGCTCCCACTGAAAAGGGCTGATTCTATCCACCACATACATCCACCAGCTCTGGAACTGGCGCAGCCAACCACTAAACTCATGAGAAAATGGATCCAACTGAAAGCCAGTTCTTTTGGGGGAATGACAGAGAGATAACTAAATCAGTTTTCTGCTCAACTGAATGCCTGTTTGTATCGGAATAAAGCAATATAAGCCAAGGAGACATAGTTCCAGTGTTTTTTTCATGGCTCTGAACAGAAACAACAATAGCAAACTTAAAAACTACTGGCCTGTTCTCAGTGGTTTTCCACCTCCCTACTCTTCCCTGTGTTACTAGCTTCAAAGATCTGCCACTTCAGCTGCTCAGAGGAACACTCCTTAACCTGCATTATTCCCAGCAATCTGGATTAGTTTTAAGAGTTTAAATAGCCTCCAAGCAGATCAGCTGATGAATCTCAGTCAGCAGCAAACTTTGGAAGGAGGATAGTAACAAGCAGCTGGGAGGAGGTTCTTTATTTTCTCATCAACACATACAGATCTGGAAGACAAACTCTGCCCAATAGCCTAAAGCATCAGTACAAAAGCCTGTGTCTTTCCTGATGCTCTTACTGATTCTATTGATTCAAACAAGTCAAGCACTGACATAATACGGGTAACAAAAACCTAACAGGGTGCACGTGGGAAAACGTGCAGGAATCAGTATGCCAACTCGGTGGTGTTAAGCAGGCACTGTCAACAAAACCGGCAGAATCTTTGTATTTCCAGCTACTAAAAATACCAGTCTGGAAGCATTCCTTTTCCAGAAAGTTAATTACCAGAAAGCTTCTGAGAGACCTGATAGTTTTATACTGCAAACCTTCTCACACTGTAACATTTTAACCTAAACTGCTACAACCAAGCCTTTTAATTGTCCAGTGCCCCATCTTGCTGACCTGAAGCCGGAAATGCCAACATCCCTAAAGGCAGACAGAACGGTGAGCAGACTACCATTTATGTTACACATTAAATAATCCATTGTCAAATACTTTCTTAAAGTTATTCCACCAGACGCAGTATTAATACTAATGGAAGAAAATATTTCAAGCCATAATTATTCTAATTGACCAATCACAGAATCACAGAATCGTTGGTGTTGTAAGGGACTTCTGGAGATCATCTGGTCCAACCCCTGCCAAGGCAGGGCCACCCAGAGCAGGTGACACAGGAACGTGTCCAAATGCATTTTGAACATCTCCAGAGAGGGAGACTCCATGACCCACCCTGGGCACCTGTTCCAGTGCTCTGCCACCCTCAACATAAAGCTTTTCCTCATGCTGAGATGAAACTTCTCTTGTTTTAGTTTATGGCCATTACTGCATATCCTGGGCACCACTGAAAAGAGTCCGGCAGCATCCTCCTGGCACCCACCTTTGCAACATTTACATGCATTGTATCTCAGTCTGCTGGACTAAATGAGCTTAGCTTCCGCAACCTCTCCTCATAAAAGAGATGCTCCAGACCCCTCATCATCCTAGTGGCCTTAATGCCAGTATCCACAATATCCTAACAAGCTGAGTAGATCAGCAGCAAAAGCTACCAGAGAGGAAAACTCTTGGGAGTGACCTTGAAACCCTCCCACCCGTAGCGACACGGACCCTTAGCATCTCCCCTTTATACCACTGCCTCTCTACCGCACCTCAGCCGCCCATAGCACACACACCCCCCCCCCCCCACACACACCCACCCACCTCAGCCGCTCGCAGCCCCCTCTGCTATCTCTACATCCCCATCCCACCGCCCTTAGCTGTCTGGCCCTGTCGGAGGAGCTCTCCCTACACCTGACCAACAGCACTAACGAACCCCGAGGGAGAGCTGCAGGGCGAGCCAGGTCTGCGGGCGCACCTGCCCGGCCGCAGGTGTGTGAATGCGCAGAGCCGAGCTCAGCGCGGGGAGCGGGTAGCGCTCTCAGAGCGCAGAGGGAACGGGCACCCTTGGGCTGCTGCTGTCCTTCTCCTCAGTGCGAAAGGCAGAGCGGTAACAGAGCCCAGGCTGCGGTTTCCACAGCGCTCCGCCGGGTGCAGCGGGTGGCAAAGCCCGTGGTTTCACCCGAGGTCCGCGAGAGTGTGTGTGTGTGCGTGCGTGCGGCCGCTAACGGCCGCGGCAGGTATTAGCCCCCCGCTGACTGAGGGCGGCAGAGCAGCGGAACGCGCTCCTTACGGCGGTCGTGGAGCCTCCCTCTATGGAGACGGTCAGGGCTTGCCTGGACACGTTCCTGTGTCACCTGCTCTGGGTGGCCCTGGCTTGGCAGGGCTTGGACCAGATGATCTCCAGAGGTCCCTTACAACGCTAGCGGTTCTGTGATTTCTGGTGGTGGAGCTGGGGCTGAACTGCCATGTCATGAGCAGCACTGGGGGAGCTGCTGGTGGGAGGTGTTATGTCCAGAGAACCGAAGCAGGCAGCAAACCCGTTTAGGGTGGTTAAAACGCATCTTCCTATGACTGCTGTTGCAGCTGCCACTGAACAATGCCACTCAGCACTGCTCATTCTTTAATTCTTCTATTTACAGTGTTGTTCTTTTTTACTAAACCGTACAGTTAAGAGTGTATTAGCTGGATACGCGTGCCACTGAGAGCTGGAAGTCTTTGCAGCCAAGTGTAGGAGACCACACACATTCAGTTACTCTTCCCAGACTCTGATAAGTGTCCTGTACAACCAGAATTTGTGATTCTTTGCAAGCATTAATTGATTACAGCAAGTTCTTGCTCAACTTGAATTACTTCTTAAACCACACTTCATTCTGATAAAATGCTTACACATAATTTCTAGACATTTTTTAAAGTAGGTAGACTCAGAAATCTTGACCATACTGTGAGAAGACTGTAAATTTAGGAGGAAATCTGTGTGCGCTGTGTAATTAGAATGACACCTATCCCCTTACTAACTAGAAATGCTCGCAGGGGTGACTGGATAACTTTAAAACAACAGCAGTAAATAGAGCTCTCTTTTTCCAAGACTTTTCTGTCAGAAACAGCTCATATCTCTGTTCAACCCACTTCTTACTTAAATAATCACGCAAGTATATCACGCCTGGAGGAAAACTTAGTGCGTGTTGGGATTTGCATGTATTTCATGGGAAAAAACGTAGTGGAAAAGGGAGGAGAGTGAATGTGAAGTAGGTGCATTTGCCTTTAGGACAAAGTTTCTCATTTTTCTCTTTGGTTATGCAATTTAGGCTCATCTTTAAAAATGTGGCTTTGTCACTGATTCCACTGTCTCTTTAGCAAAAATCTTATGTGTGCGTCAGCACGGGCTTCATGGAGGGCAATAAAGTCACTGTTCTTTACTTTTTTAAACAGACACAGCCCCCAAAAGAACCCACTCGTGCCCAAACACCCCCGACCTCTGTACCCACATTTACTTTGAAAATCAGTGCTGAATTGTGTATGATAACTAGGGCCTTTGGGCACAAGTGCCATTTGTACATCAGTCAGATGAAATTATTTATTCCTTTGAAAGGTCAGACTAGGGTGTTAACACAGGCATGGGTGTGGAGAGACCGGAAGAGCTCGCATATGCAGTTAATCCATTATTTTTCTTACCTACCAGCCAGTATAATAGATTGAAAGCCATTCTTTTTTATCTGATGCTCCTTGGCAGTGCAAAGAGAGAGGCTTAGAACTTCCCAGCCCCTTCCTTTAATGAGCTGATTTGATTTTTTGTTTTTCTGATGGTAAAACACCCCTCTTTATTTCAGTGTCATCCCCTTGATGACATTCTTGTGCCCAACTTGCATCCAGATGTCCCATAAGTCTATTCTGTGCATGGGAAAGGACAGCCACTGTTGAGGAAATGTTGCCCACTGCCTTGCTTTCACTCTTCTTCAGAGTGATGAATGTGGACCTACTTCATTCTCGTATCATTTGAGCATCCTACTCTCTGGTTTTTGCATGTTGCTGCATATAACACACTAAGCGTGTGAATTCAAATGTAATTTACTCTGAATTTAATTTACGGCAAACCAAGCACACACTAACACTTTCCCCTATACAAGTAACAGAATCTAGGTTCTGCTAAGAAAAAAAAAACAAACAACTAGCACCTGAATGCAGTAACCACAAATATTTAGTGAACAGTGCTGCATCCACCAAAATTTACCACACGGCTGGGTACAGCAGGCAAAGTATATGTTCTCTCCCACAGTTTTTAGCTATCCTTCCAATCTATTTCATTGCTTCTCAGCTCTTGGTTTACTCTTTCCCCGCAGTTTTGAATTTGTCTCTTGACATGAGAGGTACAAGTCTCAGATACACATTACTGTGAGCTCTGTGAAAGCAGCCAGCTCTGTCAGTAAGAAGAGATCCGGCAACCAGCATGTGTCTTGAGGGGAAGGCTGGCAGAGCTCAGCTGGTATCTGCTCTCCTTAACAACACTGTATCAATCCCTATACAAGTCATTCTGGCAAATGAGCCAGAGCATGTGCCTGTGTGTCCTTTCCTTCCTTGAGCTAGCATCAGGGCAGGAACCTCAGACTCCTGTAGGCAGGAGAAGAGCAGAAATCCATAGTAAATTAGTTTTGTTAGTTTCTCCTGTTTGCCACTACTTTTTTTTTTTTTTTTTTTTTTGTAGTCTTTTCAATTTCGCTACACTTTGGGACACTGTAAAAACATTTTAAAATCAAAATCTACGAATAAACAGAAAAATAGAGGGAAGCACTCAACTGACAGCAAAATCACATTAGAACATAAAAACTTGGCTGTAAGAGGAAATAAATCCCCAAACTCAGTCTTTTTAATTGTTGCTTTGCAGCTACTGCACCTAATAACCAGCTTTTCAAAATGGTTAGCAACTAACCAAGCACTGTGAATGCTCAGAGCTGTTCACGGGTATGGCAGAAAGACAACAGCATTACACTTCAGGTGTTGATGAAATCCTGGTGCCAGGGGTGAGACTGAAGCCTCCTGGACCAGCCTCACCTTCCCTGCCACACTCCAAGCAGACCCTTTCTGCCTCTTTCAGCTCAGCTCTTGAGAATTTAAGCTTAGCATCAGTAAGGCGGACTCTAGAAAAGCAGTCCAGTGTGTCAGCCATCGTTAGCTGTACAGCAGGGGCTTGGCAAGAAACTCCTGCCTGAACTGAACTGGCACCTCAACATCCAGGAGGGAAAGTAAATCCAGAACAGCTTTCTCACAGCATTTTAGGGCAAGAAACATGTCTTCCAACCATGGTTACACCTTGGCTTTATAC